GTCTGTGCAGGCAGGCAGCTCTCTGTCAGGTTGACCACCTCCCCCAATGCCTGAGGGGGCTGGGACAGCATTGTCCTCAGGCCCTGGCATGCCTTCCCTGTCAGATGGTCCCAGCTCCAACTCTTCCACCTCCTCCTCCGAACTGGCCTCTGAGGGGGCCATGACATGATCAAGTGGCTGTGATGGTGTAGTTGCTGCCACCGGGCAGAGGGAGGTGGGTTTATGGATTCTTTCATTGTGAAATGTTTATACTGTAAACTGTCCAGAGTCACCGTGCATGAGTTGGGGAGCCATATGCAGTTGTTTAATAAATATTTAAATAAACAGGAGGAGTTTATTATAACTTCCTTGATTTCACTGGGTTTTCTTTTAAAGATACTTACATCTGGATTCAACCTATCACCTGGCCATTTTTAGATTTTTTTAAATTAAGAAGAAATAAATGGAAACGTGACATGCTACCAATCAAAGCCCTAGCCTATAGAAGCATATTTACATATATGGGCTACAGGCATCATATAATTTGTTGGAAAATGTGCCTAGTCCACAGACCACTCAAGATAAAAGTCAACTTGGGGGTAGAATCTCAGTTTGCATTCAGGTCTTAATGGGTGTTTACGAATGAATATACATCATAGCTCATGTTCTATGTATAGGTAAGCCCCATGATCATCACGACATGTATTTTACGAGAGCACTCATAGTTTCCTTTATTATGCCCCTTAGCTGCAAAAATATTATCTACTAAACTAAGGCTTCCGGCAGACAGAGGACAGTTGATTAGCAAGATTCTTTGAAGTTTCTTTTAGTTCAAAAGAAAGAAGAAAGATCAGTCATACCTTTTGAAGGAAGCTTAAAGAGCAGCAGGCTGTATTTTAAAAGAAGAAAAAGAGTCCTTTTTGACAAGATAGGAGGAACAGATGCCTGCCTCTGTCACAAAAGTCAACAAAGCAAACACTGTGGCATCTGGGCAACCAGTGTGACTATTCTAAAATAAAAGTAAATGAAGCCCCCCCTTTTTTAAACCTATTATGATGTGTAGTAGGTCTTACTATTACATGAAGACTGAAGAAATGAATGTGTCTTTCACAGGGCTATGTGCTTGCAAATACTGATAACAGCAAAACAACGCCCAGTATTTGCAGAAAATATTGGCTGATGATCCTAAACATCCACTTTAATCCAGAGCTGGCTTTGTTTCAAGTGAAATTAAAAAAAATACTAAACCATGATTGATAGATTTTGAAATTCTACCATGATAGATAGATAGATAGATAGATAGATAGATAGATAGATAGATAGATAGATAGATAGATAGATAAATGGGAGAGAGAGATTTGCATGGCCACCCATCTCAATATTGTGACTCCTAATGGTGAACAGTGGTTAAAGACATAACTGCAGCAGCCCAGTATGTATCATTCTTATTGATATAGAATTCCAACAAATTTCTATTCAGGATGCAACAGCAGGTGGCCATACAGAAATTTGTTCCAAATGCACCATCAGTCCTTCTGAATCATGAACTCCCACTGTTGCCATTATAGTTCTTCTGAACCACCGTGCAATTTACCATGAAAAAAATGAGTTAAAATATTTGAATACCTTCTAGATAACAGGAAATAGGACACCTTTCTTTTTAAAATTGACTTCTTTCTTTCTATTTTCGTACTATAAATATTTATAATCAGTATTCACAGAACCAAAGTAACAAAGTAAAAGCAGAAAACACAGATTTATAAATGCAAACTCCCAAAGAAAATTAATATTATTTGGGATTTTTTGTTTAGAAACATGGAACTAATGAAGGGAAAACATGACAGAACTTTATGAAATTATGGCGGTGTAAAAAAGCCCATAGTTCAAATTTATCCCTCCCCCTCACCCACCAAAAAGTTCATGGTGGGAGATTCACAGATAGAAGGTAGAACTGTGCAGATATTGTATTTAGATTTGAAGAGGTAAAGGTGATTCAGAGTACATATGAATTCACGCCATACCTACCTGTACCTCCTTAAGTCAAACACTCCTGCTGTAAAGTCCTGAAAATTCAACATCTTTAAGACATCTGGTTGGTCACTAGGGAACAAAGCAAACTAATCCTGCACAGTTCTTCCATGTTATTAAGGAGAGAGAGAGGCAGAGGACCTGGGAGTGCACTTCCCATCCATCAGACTGAAAAGTAGCGTTCAGGGAAAGTGCTGAAGTACAGTCTTCCATCCTGCATGTGTCAATTCATTGCACACAATTCTATGACCCTCTACTCATTCCATTAGAGTGCTGTCCTTGGAAGGAGATAATCAACTGGAATGCAGCAAAGAGCCCATCATAGACACAGAGAAGACTAAACCCAACATTGATGGGTTGGGGCCAGAGTGAAGTGTATTCAGTTTATGCAGCCTTTGGCTTGCCCCACTAAAGCTTCTTCAGGCCTGGACACATTGCTTCAGAGCTTGAGTGACATGATTTAACTTACAATTATAATGTAGATTAATATAAGATCTCATCTCCACCCCATCTATGCATTGGTTTATCTATTTTAATATTAATATTAGCTTTTACTATCTGATGTTTTAATCCTATAATTGTTTTATTGCTATTTATGCTAGTATAAGCCCCCCAGAGATGCTTGGCAGAGATGGGTGGCATACTAAATAAGTTCCAAAAGGCTGTGGAAAAACATATCTGTAGGCACATGTACAAACATTTGTAATGAAAGCCACTATGACTTCCCTCGTTTTCCATGCCGTTATCCTATGCAAGTTTCTGTTTTCAGACACAGTATGTTCATATCAAGGGTTTGGAAATTCTACTGAAGTTGGCTTATTTAAGATTGTAAGTTCTGGTCTTGCTTTCTTTTGCAGAAGCCCGCTTCTAAACTGAGGATGAAAGTTATGTTCTCAGATGAGTTTACTGGTGAGGGTTGGCACTATGTGAAGAAACTAGCTAACCCGTCCACAAGGATGAGTGGGAGAAACATGTAATCAAGTGTTTACATATCTACCACCTGTTTTTAATGGAATTTACTAAGCACTTTAGACTAATCAAGCTAAGAGATTTTTTTCACTCATTCCTCAGAGACCTGTCCCCTCTCCTTACAATTGCTTTTAGAAACTAAGATGCTATTTTCTTTTCTTTCATTACAAGCTGTAACAGCCCCCAATGAAAAACTATTAGGGCTGTGCAAAACATTCCAAAGAAATGTATTGAAACTGTGACAGCTTGCACGAAGACTCCTTTTCAGATCATTATAGCAACTGCATCATCTGTTAAGGCTTGTTCTCTTGGTTATCTGCTTTTGATTGCCTACATGTGCCCAGAGAGCCATTTTGGTCAACATCTTCTGCCATTTTGTTGACTCCACTATTTCTTTGTAGCCTCCTGAAAAAGCTGTTGTGTGGGTTAGGGTATTTCTATGGAACCAAATGTGATAAAACGATATGAACAGAATAAGGCTTCAACCAAGGTCCATCTCCTGTCCATTTTTTCCCAGCAAGCAGCTTCAGGATCCTCAGAAATTTCCATGAATAGAAGAAGTCCTTCCTATTTCTGGAAGGGACAATCTAAGTTCAATCCAATATATAAAATTAACAATGAACAGGCTGCAATCCAAAAAGGTCAAGTAGCTCAAAGAACATCTTTTCAAAGAATAAAATATAAATGATTATTTTAAATTGCTACTTTATTACATTAAACTGATGCATAAAGACATTTCGGAGCGCTCACTATAACATGACAATAAAAAATAAACATACATAAAGGACAAAATAAATCTTTTTGTGAACCTTATAAGACCCAGCTTACTGTATAGAAAACATCAGACAAAGCAACTTAGTGTCTGTCAAGATTGAGTTCAATAACTGGGCTTTTTGTAACATAAAGAAATCAGAAAAAGTTTTAAGTGTTCTGTTCAATAATGATTCAGATTCTCTGGAATGCATTATAGCAAGGCACAGAATCTCTTCAAAGTAGCTGTGTCTTTAATGTGCCTTCTTAAAGCAGTTGCATGTTCTCAAGTTCTTTAAAGCTTTAGTTACCTTAAATATTTGTCCTTTGAAGGATTTGTTTCAAATAATTTTCAAAATCTGCACATATCTATTATTGCATAACTTGAAATCGCCTGAAGAAGGGTTTTCTTTGGATATCTCACATAACAACAATCTTCAGGTACTCCACATTCAGGTTTGGGGCATTTCTAACATTGGCAAAAAAGCTCTTGGAAACTCAGCTAAGAATCAATGCTTTCTTTTGATAAGCCAATACCAAACTTTTCAGCTACTAATAGCCTCCACAAAGCAGCTAAACATATATTTAACGAAAGGACATACTGTACCACTGACCTCAGTGGTTATACAATATCTTCTCAATGAATTGCTGGAATGAAAGTGCTAGGAAATCTGATTCTGTCAATTATCAGTAAAACCTTGGGGTCAAGCATTATGAGGAGGAAAATGAGCCCAGATAAAAAAATATTACTAATCTTTCTGGACTGTCCTAGTGATCAACCTGCAGGTCATCAGACATCCAACTCCATTCTTCTGGCTCCTGTTGACTTTCAAAATTTTGTGCCATGATTTTTTCATGGTTTCTAAACAAAATTGGATGCGTTAAACTTCTGGGAAACTTTGCAATGAACATATTTTATCCCTTAGCTGCTCCCCAAATGAACCAAGAAAATGGGCTGAAATATGGCCCGATCATTGTATTACCAGTCATGGTGCAAACATTGTGGAAGGGAAAAAAAAAATCAAAGTGTGTTTTCTGCCTACAAAAAGATTGCCTGCCCTGTCCTAGTGGATGCAAGATTACTTATGCAAAATGATACTATATGATATCCAATATGATACTATTCAGCTTTGGTGTCATTGATCTCATTGCAAGAATAGTGTATTGTGGGGTGCTGTCTTTTGGGCTGAAGACCAGTCTAAAATAAGTACTTACAGGTAAACAATCCAGCATTATAAAACAAACAAATTTCCATTAAAGCAATTCTAACTGATGTATTCTGAAGACTGGTACAACTGAGACACCTACAGAGGCAATTCCCATTCCACATTTTGTTAATTCATGTAACATAAACAAGCCACTGGAAACGTTTTATAAAATGCAGCCTGCTAGTCACTTGCATTTTGGCTACTTTCAATGGGGTTGTTTTTTATTAAACCCAAATTAAAGAGAATTGAGTTGAGGTTAATGCACAAAAACGTGTGATCTGGATGTGCTGTCCTCAATAGTTCTTGAATCATCAGATGGAGAGTAAACAGCTCAAACATCTTCTTATTACTCCTGCAATATATTTTGAAAAATATGCAATTAAAGAAGTCACTTCAGAAGTTCAATTAACATTTGATTCTGAAATTTCAACTTTCCAAACGGAAATAAACGGTATTTGCTGTTATTCATACATACTTTATGTGGTTATTTTTAATAATAATTTATTACATTTATATACACGCCCAGCAGTTCTGGATTTTTGTTTTTACAACCTCTAAAATAAATTTCATAGGCTGCACACAGGATATCTCTTTTAAATAAAATGACTCTCAGTTACAACACAATGATATCTGCAACATATGGCACTGGTATTCATTACTGCAGAAAAGGGAGTGCAAAAGGAATAAGCACAAACGAGTTAGAAAAGTCTTCAAAAGCTAGTTTTTAACATATTTTACTACTAAGGTATGCTTAGATTACATTACTGATCTTTACCCACCATCCCTCTCGCGCTACCACCAATCTATGTCTTTCCTTAGTGGTTTGTGATTGGGTCTGCCCTATTTTATTTGGTTGACTGTTGTCTAGTTCAGCTATAGCATCCGTATCTTTTTTATTAGTTTTCTCATGAATCTCCCAAGCTATGGAAATCCTGGGTTGCCCTGATTCCAACAAACACATAATATCAATCCTGAGAAAAATATTTTGAGGTTGGAAAGCTTACTTGATTTTTGAAAGTTTTTGAAGCAGAATGCTGAGTTTCTCCAGGAGCTGAATATCAAGATTAAAACTGCGAAGTAGCACTGAACAAGTCCGGAAAAAGAGTTCATTACTACAAGCTTCCAGAAAGCGATTCAAATACCCTGCAAAATAAGGGGCTCAATAAACATAAGGCGCTCGGCAATCATGATTGGTGTGTATAATTGTAAGGCATGTTATATCCAAATGCTTTCAACCTGGGTTTCAGCAATCTATCAAACTTTCTAAGTTCAAATTTCAGCAGATATTACAAAACTGATGATGTGTGGTAATAGCTGGTGTTGATTCAAGTTTTTGCTTGAAAAATCATTAGAATCCATTCCAGAGGAATTTCAATTCTGAAAGAGCAAATCTCTCGTGCCCATCACTCATACATACAATCAGTTGGGGGGGGGGATAATGTTATAACATCTGTAAATTCTACAATTCTTTTCAAGCTTTGTGGTCCTTAATGAATACCGGAAAATATACTCTCTTGCTCCAAGTCTTCGAAAGAACAATGGTACAGTAACTGTATCTTTAATCCCTGTCCTTTAAAGGGATGGTTTCTTAGAATATTTCACCAATATCTTGACTTGTCCAACTCCACTTTGCTATGTAGATTTTGATGTTGGAGCTGAAGAAGAAGAGGCATGAAGAAGTCCCCATCATCCACGTGCCTCACTTTTGACTTTGGAACACTGACCCACTGTTCTGATCAGCAGCTCACCAGGATACATTTTACAAACCTGGTCAATGATAATTCATGAAAATCTTAATCCTAAAGATTTTTTTAAAAAGTTTTATATTAATCTGTGCATGTGAAACATACAAAAGCTAGAATGCCTCAGCTTTCTTAATAGTGGGAGAGACAGCTATCTTGTTTAGCATAATTCTGGGTTACAACTGCTTTCTTTAACACAGCGCCTGCCTCTTTCCACCAAACAAGCACAGAGGTGGTCTAAATGTTTACAGGACTTTGTTTTGTTGAATTTCTGATATGTATTAAGTGGAAACTCATTTTAGTCCTGTGATTTCCCAATAGTATAAATAAGGCAAAAATACAAGAAACATCAGTGTTTGCATATTCTTTGACACCATCATCAATACGGTGGTATCTTTGCAACATTATTTTTAATGAAGGAAGATTTCATTTCTTAAAGAACTAGCTGATATTTCATTTTTAACAGGAAATGTTTTTCTCTTTCTATTCGTTTCCATTTTCCCTCTTAAGCAGCTTGCAAGTATCAAATTTATTAATGCTACAAAAATATATTTATGTAAGCAAAATGCTGAAAAAAATTGAATGCAAAAACAACATCTTATGAACGCATAAGAGAAAAAGAAAGATTTTTGGCATTAAAAATAGGAGTAATATTATAATCCTATTTATTTATATGCCACTCACATGTACAATAGTAGGTGGCTCATAATATACCCAGTAAAACACTATAAACATCCATTGTGCTTTTTAGCTTGCTCCAATCAATAAACATTTTAAATATTAGCCTGCAAAAGTCACAATGCCTAATGAGTTTATAAAGTGCTTTAAAGATTTCCTATCAATGCCATCAGTGGTTTCAATCTGAGTGTAGATTTTCAAAGGAAACATCAACAGTCTAATTACATATATACTAAATATTGGATGTGAAAGCAAGATTCTTATCCTGCTTGTTTCCTTTGCTTCTGCTCTACTATATAAGGTTAAGAATATCTCCTCGATTATTCTTTTTGCCCCAATTAAAAGGATATTGCCTTATTCATAATTAGACTCTTTGCCTATTCAGTCTAGAAACTTCTGCTGCTCATTCTGTAGCAATAGAGATGCCAATATCCAAGGTACCTTAGAGTACCTTCCAGTATTACAAGATTAAGTTAGGTCAGCAACCCATCATTACCAAGTCGGAAGGCTACAGAAATTAATTGAACATCTACAGAAATATTACAAGCAATAGAAGAATCAGTAAAGGTTCAAACCCACAACTAATCTGGGGAATGACACAAAGGCCAAAAGTAAAGGACAATCAGGGTGGATTCAATTAAAAAAATGATGGATGCACAATTGGGAGACCTGAAGGGTGAGTTAGGGGACAGGTTATCCTGGAAACGATCTCTCTATATGGTCCCCAAAAATCAACATAATCAGTCAATCAAATCCATCTAAATCATGCATGTCTATAGTTCATTGCTATTACTGATTTTTTCTAAGTTTAGTTTTGGTTTATTCATTTTTATTGCTATTCTGAATAAAGTTGCAGAGTTCAATCAAAGCTAACAGTACTTTAATGTACTCAGAGGGGTGAAATCCCAAAGTGTGTGAGTTCAGACAATTCAGTTCTGTTTTGGACTATATGAAGCAGCATTACTTTAGTCATAGGCTAAGAAGAAAAAGACAATCCAACCTCTCAGAGAGAACGTTACAGACAGGATGAGGAAGGAAAGTCTGGGACAGGAAACTGCTTATCCTATATAAGCTATAAAGTATTTTTTCTTCTCTAACTTCAAATGCCTCTGTTTAAGATAAGTTTGCACTTGCCCTTTAAAAGAATAAAGGATGGGATGGATTAACCCTTGCAGCAGTGAACATAGCTAATAAGGAGAAATTCTTATTATACTAAAAAAATCAAGAATCCAACTCTTAGCCTTTTAAAAAAATGTGGTAAGAATATGTAGGTTCCTTTTTGAATAGATGAGAAACAAAAAAGATGCAAAGAGAATGAAATTATTTCCACCGAATTTCATTTACTCCAACCTTTCCTACTAAGATTTAGAACAGAAAGTCAAGTTGAAGCAAACTTTAAGAAATAAAAGTCTCACAGAACTTCTTATTCTGAGAACTTTTAACACAAGTTTTATTCTCAATTGTCCCTCCACAAAACAAACACACAAGAAAGCTTTGAGATAGCTCCAGCACTTCTCTTCTGAATAGGATATTTAAATTGCAAGGGTAAAAATCAAGTCGTAGATGAAGAACGTATTTGTGCTGAAGGTGCAGTGCTTCAGGGACAATTTTGTGGAATGAAAGAGGGCAAGGCCAACTCTTCCCTGTACCCACCTTTTCTTCTATTTTCTTCTGAAATTTCACTTAATTATCTCGTGTTTAATAATTTCACACATGCTACTACTTAATGCCAAAATCTGGTAATACATAAAGCAAATCCTCTGTGGTAGAAGCTTAACAAAATGCTAAATTCAAAACTACCACATGGTATTTTTGTGCAACTGAAATAAAAGAAACATAGTCCCGACAATGTATTAAATGTCAAAACGGCTCTCTTAACACTAGGAGGCTAAAGATTAAAAAGACAGTTATTTCCTGGTTAAGATAAAACAGCATAATCACTCTAGGCAGAAACTGTGGGATGAATCCTTAACAGTGATTTATCTCAGTAGAAAATCAAGCTGTCTTGTTTCCATAGGAATGCAGAGTTCTTTCTTTTAATTCCACTAACTGTAAGTTTTAAATGTAGCATGATTATTCTGTTTGGCTGGAGGCACATCTGGAGATCCTACTTAATTTGATATTAAAGTATGGCCACAGAGTCAGGAATCATGGCGTTCTGAATATTGGAACCAACAGTTGCAGTATAAAAGTGTTTACATGTGAAAGGTTAAAAAATTCAATCACCCAGGTATCAGTTTAAGAAGTCATTAGTTATAATTCCAATAAAAGAAACAATCCACAAACAATCTTGTACATAAACCCACTGTGTACATGTTTATTTCTAGAGAGCTTACACATACTAAGTATTCAATAACCATTATAAATCAGAAAGAATTGAAAGGCATCTTATTACTAGAATTTGTATTTACATAAACAGGTCTATGCTGAGATCTTGTTGAAAAGGTCAGCCCTACAATATTTAGTTGGACATTATACTTCCATACATCACAATCTCATACACAAATATCCAGTGGACACAAGGCTTGAAATCCCTTCTATAAAGTATAAAGCATTCACTTTTTTTTAAAACTAGCTGCCTATCATATTGAACTACGACAGGGGAAAACACATTTTCTTTTGCAGAATTTCCCATTCTGCCTAATAAAAATAATAGTAATCCTTCCCTTGCAATAACTTATTGTGCAATTAACCCAAAAGTAAACACGGAAGGCATACAAAACGAGCTAAACAACGTAAAAAGTGAATGAAAAGAACATCGATTACTTACTAGATTCTGTTGTCATCTGAAGTAAACTGTCAATGGCATTGGAAAGGAGGCCTTTCCTTGATATTCTTAGGTGAGTCAATATTATGGGCACAGCTCGGTAGTCCAAAAACAAGATTTTCCCTTCCTCAGTCTTCAGATCAATGCAAAGTGAATCAAAGGCTTGTGCCAAATAATCAGCTAAAAGATGCATTTGAATTGAAATATTACAGATGTACACCACAGTTTCTAGACATCCATACAGGCCATCACTAATGTGCATAAAATCCTGCACAATGTGCTATATCAAAGTTTTTAAATTATACTGCTCATTATGTGTGTCAAGCAGCACCATATTAAGAAAATTGACTTGAAGCAAATTACACTCACAAAAATCCTGTTATGTTTTATTAACGACAACCTCCTCAATAGCTATATAAACTTTATATTTACAGCATACCTAGGCCAATGATGGCGAACCTTTTAGAGACCGAGTGCCCAAACTGCAACCCAAAACCCACTTATGCATTGTCGGGTGCCGGGTGGGTGTGGCCTATTGGGTGGGCGTGGCTGTGGTGTTAACAGCAGACTGGGTGGGACTAAAAAGTTCAATCAAACAATTCCAACTTTGCAAGATCTTTTTTTTCCTGTGAGAAGTTGAAATTGACTGATAGATTGAACCTTTTTTTTTTTGTACACGGCGGCGGAGGCCTAAAGCGAAAAGGTTTTATAAAACCGAGCTGAAGGCTTAGGACTGGGGCGATGGCATGCGTGCCCACAGAGAGGGCTCTGAGTGCCACCTCTGGCACCCGTGCCATAGGTTCGCCACCACTGACCTAGGCTATTTTAAAATTAGAACCATTTTATACAATAACAAAAGAAGTAGAACTCCAACTTCAGGAAAGCAATGAGGATTCTTCTATCACACACAGAAGAGCACCGGCCCAAATGGTACAACAGTGGTGACTTCTAGCAGACCCCTGGTTTCCCATTTTAAGCCAATAGACTGTATGTGAAATGATTTATAATCCCAGGGAGGCATATTGGAAACTTTCGCCTATTCTGAGTCCTCTCATAAAACAGTTGGATGAAAGAAGCCATTACGATGTGACAGACAAGGATGACATCACCGCAAACAAGCCGCTCTCTACCATCCCCAGCTTTTATTATTTTCATTTTTTAAAAATGTGTGGACATATTTTTGAGCAAAGCTTTGGGTTTTAGCCACCACTATTTTATTTCTCTTGAAGTATTTATGGGCCTACATGGTACAAGGGGCATTTGTGTAAATGATTATGATGCTAGAGAATTTGGGACAGCAGGCCAATGTTTAATTTAAAATATCTAAATTACAGAGCCAGGTAAGACGCCTGGAAGGAAAAGGACATAACGGACCCTTTGCTGAATGTTCCTGGTTCACAGACCATTTAAAGCAATGTTTTTTAACCATGGCAACGTGAAGATATTTGGACTTCACTCCCAAGGTTACTGGCGAATTCTGGGAGTTGAAATCCACACATCTTCGTGTTGCAAAGTTTGAAAACACTGATTTAAAGTGATTGGTCCTTAGTGATCCAGAGAGAGGCGTGGTTTGGGGAGGGTCGCCTTCAGGTTGTCCTTCTGCCGGAGAAAAAAATGCATCGGAACAAAATTGTAGACAGTGGAGCATCAAAGATGAAGGAATATAGATTTTGTGGATTTCCTGTAGCATTATGGTTATGATTCTATTTTTTTCCAGCAACCTTTAACAATATGGGCTGCACTCTATAAACATGCGATAGTTTAAATATGTCCCAAGATTTTCTGGGTTTTGTTTCAACGTGGCTGGTCCTTAGGAATGGATATAATAATGTAGAAAAAAAATCAATAGATGTTTAGATGGTTGAAAAATGCGAACACTCAACTACTCATGAAATTCATATAACTATGAGTTTTTTTACTGGCCACTGAAACTTATTATTGTAGTGTGCTGTAACTTCAGTGAAACAAAAAACAATCCATTTGAAAACTTGCCAACATCAATCTGAATATTAAAAGAAAAAAATAGAAATAGCAGCAAAATCCTATATTTTTAATAATAAATAAATAAGTAAATAAATAAATTACCATGGTGTTCAGTGTAGGTTATTAGTATGTTTAAATCAATACCCTAAAAGAGTAGATAGGTAGTAACTCTATTCATAGTAAAATTTTCACTAAAAAACTCTGGCATCTTAATGCAAGCTACATTTACTTTGGATATATTTCAAATATTGTACTATGTATATAAGTTTTATTTTCTTGCAAGATTATATCTCAGAAACTGCAAAAACCTTACTTAGAGTGCCCCCTACTGTATTATGTCTTTACTAATTATGTATCAGTACATTTAATTTAATTTGTAATGAACACACATTTCACAATTTCATCTGAGAAAGGAATTTTGGCTTATTGTAAGGCTTTCTTTTTCCTATGATGGATTGAAGGCATCCTTCACTGCTCATTCTTGCTTTAACAGGCAGGATCATGGAGATCTTATATACAGTACATCTGTGGGAGGACTGACTCACTTCCAGTTCTGCACTTGAAAAGTAGAGAATTCCATCAGAAATATAGCCTAAGAGGAGACAGTGAAAATATTCCGATTCCCCATCCGCTAATCATTGAATAGGCAACGTTCCCTTGACCACTCTCTCTATCTACCATAGAGAAAGCTGTCCCCAGTAAGTAACAGTCTCATTTTCCTTAAGTGAGCTATAATAAAGCATCCTGCATTAAGAGTAGGAATACTGGCTAAAGGAAGGCACTTTAGGAGGAATGGACAACCCATTGAAGGATCTTCAACTGAAACAAAAGCATCTAACTGAATAAAAAATAAACCATATGGCCAATTAGCTACCAACACATGGCTCCCAAAGAACCATTGTTGGAAAAAGTACTGAAGTTTTGGTAGGGTGTGCTGTGATATCCAATGGATCAACAGCCAGCAGAAGCTTTCAGCCATAGCAGCTCACTGAGTATTCTCTTTCAGATCAACCTAGACTGGGAAGAGGGAGCATCATGCCTCAGATAAAGGTGGGATAGAAATCTAAAAAGCAAATAAGCCAGAACGACTCATCTACGGATGACTATTTCACTTCCCAATCTACATTTATTGAAGAAAAGAAACAAAATATGATCTGAAGATTTGTGATTCTAAGACATTAATCTTGAGTTATATTTGATGCAATTGTTGAAGAGAGAACTGAGAGATTATTTAAGCATGAAGTGTAGGTTCCATAATGGAAACCTATGACTATGATCTTACAGAGTTGAGGTTCCTCCCAAAAACTCTTTGGAAGAATTACAGGATTTTTTTAAAAAAACCAAACATTTCAAACAACCTTTCAAGGTAAACCAACTCAAAAAACATACACCAGAGAGATTTTAGGAATGCTACTTAATAACAGAAACTAGAAAGCCTATCCAAGTTTCTCTCTGCCCCCTCCCATACTAAATGAAATGGTGAGGTTGAATTTCTTTCTCATGTGTGCTTCAGTACTTGGACATGTTCTCTTATCTATACGCCCCTCAACCATTCTTTCAGACCTTCTCCGAGGTTATCTCTAAATTCCTTTACAATAAAGGAAATTGAGGCCACAGCTATACAGTATGTGCCAAGTATTTGGACACACCCTTTGTCCAAATCTCAATGAAAATTTTTTTTGAGGGAAAAATCTTTTACATTAACGGCAAAAAGCCCTTCTGGGAACTTTTTATTATTATTATTATTATTATTATTTTAAGCTGTCCATCTCCCCTACAAGATGACTCTGGGCGAGATAACTTCATGGATAAGCATCATGGATCCCCTTAGAAAAGCTAAGGTAATTTGGATTGTATCGAATTATAACTAAATCCTATAGCAGGAGCAATCCAATGTCCATATACATAGCTTTAAGCAGTCTGTATCTGGATGAGTGAAAAACCCAGAAGTTCCTTATAGGATGAAAGGGTCCGAGGGACTTCTATGGAAAGTTGGATTATCTCTAAAGCAAAGATCTCCAAGATGGAGTTACTAATAACTTCCTTTTGACAAACTTTACTGCCTCCTGACAAATTTTGTATAAACCTGACCAGAAAAAGTCAGAAAAGGATAGGAAGATCCTTGGGCTTTTTCAAAATCAGGGTTTCCACTGATATTTGAAAATGGGATATGAACTCTCTGATACTGTGTTTACTAGAAGCATAGAAATATTTCAATGGGCAGATGAAGCGTTTTGTGCCCTAAGGCACAAAACTGAATCAGAGCATTTTTGATATTGTAAGGTTTTCCACTTAGCCTCACAACTATCCCTTCAATATGTTCTGTTGAAAAAGTTTTTGCCTTGCTCAACTCCTCCAAGAAAATGGCACACCAGATGTCTGTGAAGGCAAAAAGTGTGGATCTGAAATAGAAAGTGAAAATCCAATGATGCTATCTCCATTATCTCTAAGAGGTTTATGTTGCACTTGGCTTCCTGTACATTTCAGATGTACAGCCCTTAGCATGGGTTGCCAAGGTTGAAGGCTGACATTCAGTGGGCAGAAAATGTTCCATATGGGCTCACCTGTCATATTCATTTGGAGATGTACAGCTGAAGAACCCATCAAATTAAACGCCAAGTTCAAAACCAAACTTCAATGTCATTGAAAAAATAGATTCAGCCTTGCCAACTGGATTCAAGGCTACCTAGCCATGAGGAATGCCATTGAAAGCAAGTGTAAACCAAGAGAAAGCAATCCGGAATGTACCTGAATGAAGCTGAACCTCAATAATTAGAGCAGTTCAGCTTCATTTATGCCTGCATAAGGATCAAAGAACGTTGGGCAGATGTGGTCTGCTCAACACAGAATTCAGAGCTAGAACCATCTCTGTAACAGCTTGAATTTTGACAGTATATAACTTAGACTCTAGGCAAGATCCAGTAACAGCTACCATCTTTATCTCTCAAATTCATACATATTATTTGGACTGATTGTGGGAAATTTAAGTCAGATCATTGGTACTGCTTAATCCACTGCAACTCAAGATGAAAACTTTGGATTGTGATTTATGACAGGCAGAGCAATTAGTCACAAGTTTCTCTAGGTTTAAATAGCCTAGCCCGGTTTTTTGCCAGAATTGAGTCAAAACAGAAATTGCCTTTCTGTACAGCAAGAGACAGCTGCTAATGAAAGGGCAAGTTATACAGCTCCTTAGAGAGAAACAAACTTGGGGAAGGGGGAGGTCTCTCAGCATTAGCTTATTAAGATAGCAGTACAGTTTCAATTTCTAAAATAAATTACAGTATATTTGAACAGTAAATCTGATTTGGAATTCAATTCCGTTTCAAAACCATTTTAGATTATAATTTGCATTTATAATTTTCAATTTGTGAGTTTTGGAGTTTATTTCTTGACATTACCATATGAACTACATATAATTTTATAGTATTGACTTAATGTATTATTCATTATCTACAGTTTCTCCTTTGCCTGATGATTTGAATTGTGTTAGCCAACTACTTCTAAAGTTTAATAGTTATTAGTCACATTTTGATTACTACTACAGAACATTTATTCTGCATCACTTCAAAGTACTCATTCCAAATTCATTAGCCTTAATGATTAAAGGTTTTTTCATAAGCTTATCTTTCTCTGGTCATGTAACTTTGAAAAGGAAATCAAACTAGTGTATCTGTGTGTATATGTGTGTGTGTAAGAGATGGGGAGGTCTTCGAACTAGTGTTGATTCCTGGTGATTTCCTGCTGTTTTCTTGATGAGATTTTCAGAAGCGGTTTGCCATTGCTTTCTTCCTAGGGCTCATTCTATTTTTTTCTGAACCAAGCAAGATTCATTTCACGTCTTTCATTCCTTCATTAAACATCTTTTAGATATAATCTACGGAAGCAGACATTGTTACTGATATTGTGGCTACTAATTTCAGGTCCCATTATTCAAAAACTCCTTTAATATTTCAAACTCTGTAGTATGTCCTTTTGTAGATTCTAATCTGTAATGGAATGTGGATGACTTTAGGGAAGGAAGGAAAGAGAGCTCCCTAGAAAACAATCAGACGAGAGAGGCAGAAGACCTGATGGTTTAATGATCAAAGAAAGAAATGTAGGATTGCCATAATGCAGGGGTGTCAAACTCGTAACATCATGTGTTGGACTATCATGACTTTTTTCCTAATAAAGGATAGCCTCTACCAACACTGTAGGAAAAATACTTGCTTCTGCACTTTGAATATTTCAAATATTACTTGTAGGACAACTTTTAAAACGTTTTCTAAAGACCCTACCAATTTTCCTAGGTTTCTAGTGTTTAATATTTTCAAAAATATTTATAACGCTTACCTTGTGTGACCACTTTGATTATAATTAAAGTTGACACAACTCGTAAAGATAAACTACAACTTTTAAAGAAAGATGCAGCCTTGGGTTTGGAATCAGTAGCATGTTCTGAAGAATTGTGCTGACTTTCCTTAGGGACAACACCTTTAAATAAGTCTTCACCCAGCCGTCTCATGGTTGAGGTCATTGCTGTATGCTATTTATGCAAGCAATAAAAAGCAGAGATTATAGTATTCTGTGTTATGTATTGTCATAATATATTTATTATATACCCGTATTTATTTGAGTATAACGCGCACACGTGTATAACGCGCACCCCTAATTTTCGATTAAAAATCGGTATAAAATTTTGTTTTACTTTTTCTCGGCTCAGACCAAGCATTGTAAGTGACAAACGTTGTTGAACACGTGCGGCCATGATAAAAATCATTTATTGACAACGTAAACTATGAACACAATACCGAAATAAAATTACCGGTAACAATATTTATTTACATGGCTTGTCTCCCTCGTTGTGCTTTTTTGGTTTTATTCATATCTTTCAGGACGACTTTCTGTTTTCTCCATTCTCTAACATTCGTCTCTGGTACAGTGAATTCTCGGCTAGCTGCTCGATTTCCGTGAATTTCAGCATGATCAACAACTTTGAGCTTGAATGAAGCGTCATATGCAGAACGTTTTCTCTTGATACGGGAAAGGGAAGTGCATCTCGCCAGTTCGGGCCGCCCCCTGTACGCGACGAGGGGACGT